CCTGGGTGGCTCAGTCGTTAAGCGTCTGCCTTCGGCTCAGGTCATCATCCCAGGGTCCTGGGATCGAGCCCCGCATCGGGCTCCCTGCTCCGCGGGAAGCCTCCTTCTCCCTCTCCCACTCTCCCTGCTTCTGTTCCCTCTCTCACTGTGTCTCTCTCAAATAAATAAAATCTTTTTAAAAAAAAAAAAAAAGATGCTCTCTACAATATCCAGCACAACAGATACGACATAATTTGCACAAAATCTATTTCATAGCCATATTGGGTTTTCTTGCACCAAGAGTAAGAAGGCTTTTTTTTGTTTATTTAATCATTTTACTTATCAAGTACTATGTTCAAGGCATTGTATTTGACTTTGTGAAGGACACATCAGAAGTCTACAGGTGGTAAGAACTTAGCCACAAATGCAAATTTTTTTTCCAATTTTTAGAGTAAATTGAGTCAAATAGTAATAAACCATTTTTCATTATTATTACAATCCTATTAACGTATGAAAAACTGACTTTTACTAATCATCAGTAATTGTGAAGAAACATGCCTAATAAATCCATTCCTGTTGTTCAACCTTTACCTGAAATCATATTCTATTTTATCCAAATAATAAGCGTAACACAACTGTACGAAATAGAAATAGAAAAAAAGTATAATTTTCAGACTCCAATGTGGCATTCAGATCCATCTAGAACTGTTTTCCTACACACAAACCACAGAAAAGACATGCCATCAATTCAAAAGTATTCACAGAGTTGTAGAAGCCAAGGCCAAAGAATATTGTTTAAACACTGTGCTAAGATACCGAGCACAGCCACGCTCTCTACAAGCAGACTTCACACAGGTAACAAAGGAAATATAAGTAAGTTCGTCATGGACCTACCAATCCACTGTTGAACTTGTCCCCTCCACGTGCAAGAGTCAGAGGCAATCAAGAGACAAGGCCTCTGCTTTCCTGGATGGCACAGTGTGGTCAGAGCACACAAGCAGATTCTGTCAGATGGAAAGCTCGGACAAAAACAACACAGAGGGACAGGGACAGAAATGTGGAGCGAAGCACTTTTATTCACACTGGGGGAGGTGGGGACACCTGTCCCACTGGTGGAGGACCCTGTCAACAGGGAGGGGCAGAAGCTCCAGTGTTTCTGCCCCACGCGGAGGCCAGGGCCCCACACGTCTGCCACCACACCACAAACCAGCCTTGCCCAGGCCAGTCAGCTATGCCCAGGAGGAGAGCGAGAGGTGTGTGAGAATGGGCACTGCAAATGGTCGAAAACCAATGGACAAGGCAGCCGGGCACCCAGAGGGAGCAAGAAGGGAATTTCCACCTGCCTCACACCTTCCTCACCATCCCTTTACATGATCACTGCACACCTGGAAATGGGAGGTCCCAAAAGCCCCGCTGCAGGGCGGAGGGGTAGAGGGGCACGGGGAGCTGCAGGCTGGGCCACGCTCGACGTCGGGACTTAGGCTGCAGGTCATGGAGGCTCCCTCCACAGACTCATCGGAGTGCACAGTTACCTTTTATGTACTTTTCTATGGGTGGGGTGGGTCTGTTTAAAAAAAAAAAACAAAAAACAGGATGGGGCGCCTGGGTGGCTCAGTCGTTGAGCGTCTGCCTTCGGCTCAGGTCATGATCCCAGGGTCCTGGGATCAAGCCCCGCATCGGGCTCCCTGCTCAGCGGGAGGCCTGCTTCTCCCTCTCCCACTCCCCCTGCCTGTGTTCCCTCTCTGGCTGTGTCTCTGTCAAATAAATAAATAAAATCTTTAAGACAAAAAAACAAACAGGGGCGCCTGGGTGGCTCAGATGATTAAGTGTCTGTCTTCAGCTCAGGTCATGATCCCAAGGTCCTGGGATCGAGCCCCGCATCAGGCTTCCTGCTCGGCGGGAAGCCTGCTTCTCCCTCTCCCCCTGCTTGTGTTCCCTCTCTTGCTGTGTCCCTCTCTCTGTCAAATAAATAAAATCTTTAAAAAAAATTAAATTAAATTAAAAAAAACAGTTGAAAATAATGAAAAGGACTCTTCAAAGGTTGTTGAAAAGTCACAGTTGACAACAGAAGGACCAGAAGGGCAACACTGGCCCCAAGGGTAAGATGACTTCCAAGAAAATCAAAGTGGCCAACAGTGTTGAATATTACAGAAAGGTCAAGGTAAGTTCAGGGCTGTGGGCTCTTGACTTAAAGGAGGTCCCCAGTGATTCTGGCAAATGCCATCTCCGAGCAGGGGCACTGGGGGCCAGGCCACAATGAACGTGAGGCAGAGAAAACACTGGGTGCTTTGACAAAGTTTGGCAAAAGCTGTGAGAAACATGGGACTTAACGAGGGAGATTTTTAAGATGAAAGAGACTCGGTTCTGTTTAAATGAGAACAAGATGATTACAGCTTTTTTTTTTTTTTAAAGATTTTATTTATTTTTTTGAGAGAGAGAGAATGAGAGAAAGAGCATGGGAGGGAGGAGGGGCAGAGGGAGAAGCAGACTCCCTGCCGAGCAGGGAGCCCGATGCGGGACTCGATCCCGGGACTCCAGGATCATGACCTGAGCCGAAGGCAGTAGCGTAACCAACTGAGCCACCCAGGCGCCCCAAGATGATTACAGCTTTGTAACAGAGCTTGAAGTCGGATTGTGATGCCACCCTTTGGTTTCCTTTTTCAACATTACTTTGGCTACTCGGGATCTTTTCTGGTTCCATACAAATTTTAAGATTATTTGCTCTAGCTCTGAGAAAAAAGTTGATGGTATTTTGATAGGGGTTGCACTGAATGTATAGATTGCTTTGGGTAGCATAGACATTTTCACAATATTTCTTCCTCCAATCCATGAGCATAGAACGTTTTTTTCCATTTATTTGTGTCTTCCTCAATTTCTTTCATGAGTGTTCTCTAGTTTTCTGAGTACAGATCCTTTGCCTCTTTGGTTAGGTTTATTCCCAGC